ATCGGCAATCCAACTAGCCCCACATGAAACCTGCCTCCAAGCCAAGGATACCAATATAATAGGGCTTTTTTTTTTAACTCACTCAGCAACCGGGGTCAGGGATCTATCTTGTATTTGGACAAATTCGTCTTATGAATCCAATTTGTTTGAATTTCGAGAGAATTACCTGAATCGATGATGGTGCCACCACCAGTGTTTGGGTTAAAAGCTAATGCACTCGGGGGGATGTTGACGACCTTCGAGCCGACTCTGATTCCGATAAGGTTCACATAGTAAAGCGAGGTTCTTCGAGGGTTTACGAGCAACGGTGTGTATTTCATGTTAATCGGTTGCCCGTTTGTACCTAATCTCAGGGTTCCAGAAAAATTGGAAGACTTAAAACTAGGAAGACAGTAAGAGAAGGTGGACTTGTACAGGGTCTGAGATTGGGATACAAAAGATAACGGACCACGACCGAGGCCTAAAACGCCTTGTGGCGGGAATGAACCCCCCGTGGCTTTTTTAATGCAGCTGAAAGGGTAGCCAACGACCGAGTCCGTGGCTAGGGTCAGGTTATCCTGTGCCAAGTTAGCCTCGATGACCGAGTTTCCGTACGTCATGTTCAAAGAGCACGTTGTCCCGAGACAATTTGAACTTTGTACCTACAATTAGTTACCGTAAAACCGTCAAACGAGAGGGAAACATATCATACAACTATTCTTTAAATACGTATAACGTATATACAATTTGAACTTTCTGCCGACGAATAGTAACAATGGGATCGTAAAACAATACGTAAAAATGGCCAACAAACTTTTTAGTGGGTGTTTGGGATTGCTTATCTGAAACAACTTATGCTTTTCTACAAAAGCACTTATCAATTTATTATAAGTTAGAAGAGTTTTAACTTTTTTTAAAACTCCTTATTACCGGTATAAGTTGTTTATCCAAACACTTAAAAGTACTTATTACTGGTATCAGACAGAAATAAATCAATAAATTATTTTTATAAACAATCCCCAATGCCCCTTAAAATTTGTCTACGTACACGGTTCTAAAAATATTTATTCGTTAAGAAACATTCTTTTTCTATCTTATCAATTTTTAAGTATACACGTTTTATTACTAAAATAGATTTAAAGTTTTAATAAATTATAAGTATATATTTTTTGTGATAAATATTTTTAATAAATTGTAAATCTATACTATATTATAAAATATTTAACAAAAACTCTTAAAAATAATTTTTTATGCATGAAATATTATTCAATGATGTATATTACTTAAAATTTAAGGTTACAAGTAAATTGTGCGTAGGTATAACTTATTAAAGATTTATGTTTGAATTTGTATAACTAACTGCAGATAAACATAATCAAATAGAGAATAAACATTTCATTTTAAATATAAAAAAATCTAAAACATAATTACGATTATTATTAACTTATAATAAAATATTTAATTATTATTTTTATAAAAAATTATATTATTAAAACAAAAATAAA